CAGCAAAGGTGAATCGGTGGAGCTGCCACATCGAAAAATCTCACCGCTAATAAGTTCTTATTTTTTAATTTTTTCAGCCAACCGAGATCCCTTAACGTATTTTCTCGCAGGAATGGGTATGAAACTGGCAGAAATCGGCCAAAATTAGTCGAGAAGGGCTAGTCCGAGGAAAATTATTATCGCGAGCGGCAATGTCGTCGCCAGAACACTGTGGTGCCACCGTGCTGGAATTCTGAAATTAGTGAGAAAAAGTTTTCAACACTGATTTTGGATTTTTCGGGTATGTTTAGGTACGTGAAACATTTTTTCACCTTTACAGAAAAATTCAGGAAACCTGGGGATTACCAGTAGACGCTGTAGAAAGTTCAGTATTTAGAACACCACTTTGGGTAAGAATCTCTCACCTTATTTCCTATTATTGAATTGAAATCTAATTATAAATAATAAAGTATTTTGCGTAATTTAGAAACTACGATAATTAATTATAGGTTACTAATGGAGCTGGAACCGGTTATTTATTTCTGTTTGTCCTGTTTTAACTTATTGTTTGGTTTTATAGTTTTAAATGCATGATAATACACTGAAATTGGTAAGATGATTCAGTTGTGTTTCCCTGATGCATGTATTGCTTGTCTTGCGTGATTTACAGTTAAATTATAAAAATGAAAATTGAATGTAAACAAAAAATTGAATGGTCGAGTGAAAATGCCAATTTGTTTTCTTTCTCTTCCTTTTTTGCTCCTTCCTCAGAAACAATAAACTTTGAGCATCAAACCCCCATTGAGGTTCTCATTAATTTAATCTTCATTCTTACAAGAAAAAGAAGAGCTAGAAATGAAGAGAGAGAGAGAGAGAGAGAGACTAGTTGTTGCAACCTCTGTCATATATAGAAATAGAAATAGCAATAGCAAATTCAAACAAGGGCACTATGAATTTTTTCCAGTTTGGCTCTATGTTGATCAGAGACCTTCCAAGAAAAGAATTGCCAAAAAAACAGAAATGACAGAAACCATGTCTTCCTTCGCCCTTATACATGAGGCCAAAGTATATAAACAACTGTTTAAAATGATTCACAGTAATTTACTAAGCTCCTAATTCTGCCTGTTAATGTCATCTGTTTTACAAAACCAAGAACCAAGTTATGCACTCAGCACCATAAGAACCATAAAGAGTTAGTCAACTACTTGCTTCCTTCTGATTTATCAATGTAATATGTAGTAAGTTCCAAAATCAGAATTTTCATGACAATCGAAAGCCACAATATAGAAAATCCATTTCCATGAAAAGGAGATCTCAAGAAAAAGTTTTATATGAAATGCTGGTTTGAGGAGTTAGAAATGAAGATTGTGGAATCAAAATCCAAATTGAAATTGTTAGAACATGATTACTTAAGAACCATGTTCTTAGGATGTAGGCCTAACTAGGAAGAATCAAATTAAGCATAAGTATACTGTGAAAAAAAAATATATAGAGACTAGTGCTTCTAGTTGAAAAATAGACATTACTAACAAATTATTCAAGTTAGTGTAAAGAAATATTAGTTTTATACAGGTGTTTCTGATGAGTTGAATCCAACTTCACAGATAATCTTTTTACTGTGGTTATCAAATTAAAGACTTCATCAGAAAACACTTACCAGATCTTCATTGTATACACCGACAACAGCAAAAGGTACTCTTGCAGGATTCAACATAGGGCCCAATACATTGAATACAGTTTTTACTTTGAGTTTCTTTCTAACGGGTATGACAATCTTCATCGCAGGGTGATACTTTGGGGCCATCATGAAACCAATTCCTACTTCATTCACACATCTTCTTACACCCTGAACTCCCAGGTAAGTAACAAAAGAATCAGACCACCAAATGAGTTTCAATATCCAAAATATTACTCTATTTTCACTTATAAAGAACACTGTAATAAGATATTGGAAGATGGAAAGTCACCTAGCCACGTTGTTGATACACCTTCATATTATGAAACAAATTAAAAGGAAAGGAAGCCCCATCAATTGGAGATATGCCCATATAGAGCAAATAATCACTTCATTATAGAACATACATTGGCGTAAGGTTCTTAAAATAGCAGATCTATTCCACTGAGTTTTTTTATCTAACAAGAAAAAAATTCAATTCAGCAACATGAATAAAGAAGTCTTAACTCAACCAGTGGTTGCAGTCCGTGTTTTGACTGGCACTCATTTCAAAGTATTTGCTAATGGTAAGAATTAGGGTTTTCCACACTATTAATGACCAAATGGACAAGAACTAGAGGACAAGGAGATAGATGGTTAAATAATGAAATGGAATGAACATAATAGAATATAGGATAATGAAATGCAATGTAAAACATTCTACCTTGTTTTGATACGTTAATAATGGAACCGAGTGAGTTACTTGGATAGGGTGCAAATGTAGGAATATGAAAAAGTTATGTCCTAGATTTTCTATCCCTCTCCATCTCCTCCCCCTCTCCCAAACAGAAAGTAAACGAAGTTGGAAGCGTCCCTTGATGAAACTAGCAAAACACCTACTAGTATGATGAGAATGCGTGGTGTGAATGTTCTAGTCTTGGCAATTCCAATTTATGCATATAACATTCTTTCCAAGTGCCCCTGTTCAATTGATGATTGAAAGGCCTTGTCTTAGATAATATCAACTTCAAAGTGATTGCTACAGAATTAAATAAAGCTTGCACTTCGTTAATTAATAAAAGGACAGTGGAAAGGCATCATGGCATCCTATGATCATTACGCAGCAAAACACCAAAGAGTATCGTGAAACTCCCCTTAATCACACTCTCTATCGATTCTCTAATGTTAGCTCCTTACAGAACTCTTTATTACAAGTTGTAGCTTTTGCATAGGAGAGCTGCAGGGCAGCTGAAATCTGCATTAAAGAATATAATATATAGTTTATACTAACCAACCTCTGGTCCCAAGTCAATAGCCACACCAAGTGCCTCTAAAACATCAGCACTTCCACATGAAGAAGAGCTGGAATAATTTCCTTGCTGCAAAGCAGACAATCAAGAAATATTAATAATTGAACCACAGAATACAGTTGTCGATATCATATTCACAAAACTAATAGCCTTAAATTATAAAAATTATAAACCTTTGCTACTTTTGCCCCAGAAGCTGCAGCAATGATTGATGCCCCAGTTGAAATATTCACCGTGTTCTTACCATCACCGCCTGTTCCAACAATGTCAACTGCATTATCCAATCCTTCTACCTTCCTGGCATGATTTATCATAGCCCTTGCCAATCCCACAACCTGTTAACATAAAATTGGATAATCATTTGCATTTTCACAAAGAAATGATAATGGTATATTGATTAGAGATTGCTGCTGTTTGCATTTCCTGTTAAAATCTGCAATTACCATTAGCAATATCCCTCCTATCAGAACCTCCCTTGTTCATGTTTTTACACTAACAAGTACATTTCTCTATCTGAGTCCACCTAAGAAAATATTGATATGTTCTTTGCCAGTGTTGAAATAAACGTGAAAAAGCACCAGAGTGCTTTCACTCATTCAAAAAAGATAAATTCTTATCCACATTTGCATAAAATATTTATTTTAAAAAATAAATATTTTATTACTTTCATTACTTTAAATATATTGTTTAATATTGTTAATATAAGACAACATTAAGAGATCAGTTAAGTAAATTAGTTAGATAAAAAGAAAGTAGGAATTAGAATAATTATTTTTTCCCTTAATAGCCACTTTTAAATCCCTAATACATTTCATGATATCAGAGCAAAGAACACTTATGCTTATAAAAAAACTAAATAATGCAATCCTAAACTCAAACTATACTTAAGAGTACTTCTAAAAACAATAACTCAAATGTATTTGATTTCAGGCACCAAGAAAAGAAATTCCAAACTTTTAGATTGAAACCAACTTACTTCTTCAAAAGTCTCTCCTTTGGCTCTCAATAAAACAAGAAAAGCACTAATCAACGCCTCACTGGCCTCATTCAGCAAAAATTCAAGAGAAGCTTCAGCCTCAGCCTCAGATAAATCCACACGATCGATCAACGATTCGATCAACTACTCAAAAGAACAATTAAAAGAAAAGCAACAAGAAGTGAGACCCATTAAAGAAATGAGAGGAAGAAGAAAATTAAACATCCAAAATAAAAAATTACCCAGAAGAAGAAACAAAAAGTAAAGTTACCGATAGTGACCCACCTCATTAAATGACGCTATGGGTGGGCTTGCATTTTTACAAACACTTGGCAGAGCATTAGCCACGCCACTGCCAGTAGCAGTAAAAACCCCATGGATCATTAATGAGACATTGGTTTGCCTCGTGCAACGATCAATCGGCGCAGTGAAAAAGCGGGTTGGAGTATGCGGAAATGGGCGGCGAGTTAATGATGAGAAAGAAAGGGGGGAGAATTGCAGAGAAACAGTTCTCGCTGCCATCGCCGCAGCTCGAAGGAGAAAAGTCAACTGTCACAAGTCTCAGAGAACAGACTACACGAGTGAAATCGAAGGTGGGTTCTGTTTATACAGAGAGAAGGCTGGAGAAGACAGCAGAAATGGAAGAGAGACTTGAGTTGGTGGGTTTACAGCAGCAGATCTGACAGCGTCGAGGTTATTCTGAAACTATGAAAGCCTGAAAAATGCATGGTTTAAATATAACAATATATATTTACACTCTATTAATAAATTTTAATAATTGTTAATTATTATATGACAATGTCGGCAATCGTATGATATTAACACAGAATGAAAATGACAAAAAAATTTTATGTTTGTATGATTGTATGTTAATGACATATTTTTATTTAGATAATAAAATGATATAATTGTATTTTCAATTAAATTACTAATTTACCGATACCTATTAATAATTGTAACAGTAAATTATCTACAAAAAAATATGTAATGAAAAAAAAAATATTTACCAATATAATTACATTTGAATTTTAAATAAATAATTATTATTTATAATTAAATTAAAATTTTATATGTAATAAAATAAATAATAATTTATGATAATAAAATTAAAATTAAATATATTATATTAGAGTATAAGGAGAAAAAAAAAAAACTTACCGATCACATAACACCGATTTGGTAATTTTAAAATTCATCCCAAATTTATTAGTCAAATACCATTTGTTACCATTGAAAATTGAAATAAATATAATTTTCTCATCTGTAGATTACCATACATTAAAATTCTATCATTCACCATGATCCAAACAAGGTGTTAAAGTTATTATTTAGATTTTATGAGAGTCTTGTCACATTCAAAGTCTCGTCTAAGTCTTCATCCTTTTTTTTCCAAGTTCTAACTGGTAATTTTTTATTTCTATTTTTTTCTTTACAAATTGTAACCTGTATTGCGTGAAATAATGAGAGTAGACCAGAAAATAACTAGAAGATGTTAATTTTTTAAAGTCATCTCATATAATTATGACTTATGATATTAGACTATGAGTTTTTTATAATTACTTGTAAATACCGGATCAAAATATAAATATTCATAATTTAGAATCAGCTTTATAAATAATTCTAGTTCAATGTATAAATACCTTTGTAATTTTTCATTAATGAATTAGTTCTCATTTTTTTTCTAATTCATAAAACTCGAGCTCTCTCTTTTTTCTCATTTTTTTAGCTTACCAAGCACGATTATGCTCTTCACATGTTTCTAAAAAATATCGTACATTTAGTGTATATTTACATTAGGTACACATTCAGATTTACTACAAAATATGATATGGTATTAGAGTTATTGTATTTTCTTTGATTGATTGATAGTGGTGAGTGTTTGGAGAAACCTTATACATACTAATAGATTATCTATAATGTAATACACGAGCCCGAAGACATTTCGAGATAAAAATTTTATTTTTTAATTATTAATTTAAAATAATAGATTAATTTATTTTATTTTTATTTAAATAAAATTTTAAAAAAAAAAATGAACTAAGAAAGAGATTGAAAAGAATTTTGAAAAAAATTGGTAAAAATTTGAATTTTGAGGGTGTTTTAAAAAAATTTTAAAATAGGAGATCAAAATACAAATAGAGAAAGTTTTTATTCTGTTATACGTAAAAATGAAAAGGGATATGGATATAAGTTTTTATAACTTTTTTTTTAAAAACTAGTTACGATAAGTATTAAATAAAGTTTTAAATGTATTTAAACGAAAGCCAAAAGAAGTCAAAGGCACTTGCCCTGGACTGTGAAAATTGGTCACAAAATTACACATCATCCAAAAGAGTTTCATGCCTCACAAAATTACACACCATCTAAATCGAAGTCAAAATGTTTCACCCATAGTAGCTTCCATCACAACATTTGCCTACATTAACTAGACAAAATCAATAAAAAAAAAAAGATCAGAGAATACTAATGGAAATTCATCAGAAACAACAAGTTTTACTTGTTTTTTCAAGGTGC